TTTGGTCTCTCTAACATGGTGGCATGTTCCCTTTCTTCTACACTCACTACATACAGCTTTTCTCTGTCCCGGACCATATACCAGGAGCTTCTGCCTGCTAGTAAGAAGGTAAGGAGACAAGTGGACCAGCGAGTGCTAGGGGACAGTCCTTAGAAAGCGTTGAGCGAGCGCATCATTAGATGCATTTATGCCAAGCTCAGGGTGTTGTCTGCATAGTATGCCCTTTGTTGGCCAGTTGCATGATTGGTAGGCAGCCTGACATGCATTCATGCCAGGCTGGCCTTCTAATTCTTTGAGCAGACATGTCCTCTTTTTGGGCATGTTCGCCCCTTTTGGCAGGTTATGTGATTTGTGTCAGTGGCACACCCTTTTACCATACCTATTGACTTCCTACTTGACTGGACACTGCTGTTAGGGGTTATGGATTTACTTGAAAGATGAAAACATAAATTAGTGAGAGATTAGCATAGGGTATGTGTTTTCTTATAGCTGCTGTTTTCTTTCTCTCCAGCACCATCTCCATCAGATACATGATGCTTGGGAGTGTTTTACTGTTTTTGGTCGATATGATTCTGTAATTAGGCCCCTCATAATTGTCAGCACCAGGCCCACTGGGCTCTTAATCTGGCCCTGCGCGCAGGGGTGGGAGCCGGGGGGGGCAGTAGGTCCCCTCCCTCATTATCAATATGGCCCCCACCCACCGCTCAGGGGTGGGGGCCGGGGGACGACAATAGGTCCCCCCTTATTGTTCATTTTAGGGCCCCCACCCACCGCTCAGGGGTGGGGGCTGGGGGGGACAATAGGTCCCCCCCTTATTGTTCATTTTAGGGCCCCCACCCACCGCTCAGGGGTGGGGGCTGGGGGGGGACAATAGGTCCCACCCTTATTGATCATTTTAGGGCCCCCACCCACCGCTCAGGGGTGGGGCCGGGGGGGACAATAGTTCCCCCCCTATTAGTATTTAGGGCCCCCACCGGGGGGGACCCTTTTTTTTTTTAACAGTGAGCAGCCACAGGCTGCTCACTGTTTAATAGACATGCCCCTACTCACCGTATTGCGAGTAGGGGCACAATTTACTAATACTAAGTAATTTTTACTTAGTATTAGTAAATTAATAGGGGGCGGACCGAACATCGCATATGTTCGCCATCCGTGGCGAACGCGAACACGCTATGTTCGCCGGGAACTATTCGCCAGCGAACCGTTCGGGATATTACTATTCAGTAAGCCCCATTTACTGAACCAAGTGGAAAATTGCTAGAAACAAAGGGTTTTAACCAGGTCTGGGGACACAGGGGACACTGTCTTAAAGGGGCAGTGTCACAGTTTTCCCTATGCCCTAAAAAGGTGCTTAAAGGGCCAGCACCAGTCCCATAAAAAGTCCATAAGCCCCAATATGCCCACCGACTGTCTTAAAGGGCCATACACACTCAATAAAAGTCCATAAGTTTTCACACTCTCCCAGGGGCCATAGTCATTCGAAAGGAGGCTGGCAAATAGGCTTCTCCACAACCCAGGGAAGCAGGGCAATTTGTCATTTAAAGGGCCAGTTACAAATAGCAGTTTGTATATATATATATATATATATACTATTTCTGTGGGGATGAAAAGAGTGCAACATAGTATGTATGGCCTTTTATGTCGTTAAAAGTAGAAGCCGGGACAGGTCTCCAAGGAAATATCAGGAGAAGAGTAATCGGTGTGTGGGCTGTAACCAGATAGCATCTAAAGGCAAGAATCTCTGCATCAAATGCCTAACTGAGGTTGCTGAAGAGAGCAGTAAAAGACCATCCCCTCAAGAGGATCCAAAGACCTGAATATCCTAAGCAATTGCAGAAGGCTTCAAATCCACAACTAAAAGTATGGGACAAACAAAACACTCTAAAATAGACACCATTTCCTCTGACTCAAGTTCTGAGTCAGAATACGGGGCAGATTTTTCTAAAGAAGAGGAGGAGGAGACATATCATAAAAAGACACACTAAAAATCCAGGAAGAAAAGTCAGAAATCCTGAGAATAAGACAGATTTTTGGAGGATCTAAAATTAATTTTCTTTAATTTCCAGTTCCCAGTTTAATAATGAATATAATACTGGAAGAATGGAAAAAAAAAACAGAAAATTAATTTTCCTTAAAAAATAAAGCATCCAGTCTCTCCTGATGAGTCTAAATGCTGGAATTCTATACCAAAAATTGATGCTGCAATTATTCGCATGGCTAAACATACTACGCTACCTAAAGACTCCCTTATCTATCTCAGGGAATCTATGGAGAAAAGAATGGATGCAGACCTAAACAAAGTCTATTTAGCATTAGGTTCTGCCCTCCATCCTTTTGCTCTAACCACCTGTAACGGCACCCCTAGGCATAAAAGGGTTAAACCGCCGTTTAGTAGATCTTCCCTTCCAGAGACACAGGCACAGCTACTGTAGACACCAATCCACCAAACCGGAGAAGCAGACGAATGCTGTAAACAGCCGAATAGGAAAAAACCATATGAATACGTTTACACTCCTAGCAGTCAAACTGGAACAGCATACAATAAATCCCCCCAAGAACGAGACAAGGCTCCGTTTTGAGGGTCAAGCAGGAACAGTCAGAGCTGTGGGTTTATTGTTCTTATGTACACATTCTTACACATTAGTACCACCTACAGGGTTTTGGAAAACAACCAATAAACACATACAATACACTCAGACACTCCCACAGAAAATCCTCCCCTCTGCCTGTGATACAATTACCTTACACAATGGGTAATGTAATTATCACAAGCAGGGAAATACAATTTTTACACATTATTCATAACTTGAAAAGTATGCATCACATTCACATAAAACTTACATTTCAGAATCAGCATACTCCAAATACAAACATATGTCCAAATCATCCAAATTGGTCCAGTGGTTTAAAAGATAGATCGTAGTCCTTTGTGACCAAATGAAGCATGGCTTTTCTGCCCAAAACCAGTTCCACAGAGTCTTCTATCCTGGAGATAATTGGGAAGTAATCTAATTATCTCCAAGGACAGAGGCAAAACTCCATTGAACACATGGCAGCAAAAGACAATAAAACACAATAAAACATATAACTGTGCAGCCATTGCACAAAACAGGTACATTCAACATATCCCCAGATAGCTCAGATCTAAGCGCACATTATTACTGAATGGCGCTCAGAGCACACACATACAGTTCAATTGCCATGGAGCCAAAGTCTTTGCCATAGTCTTTCATTATACGAATGGGCTCCATGGCATAGCTATCTGGGGTATCACCGCTCAAACAGGGCCAGCACCGAATGACCCAGCTTTCGTGTCTTCGCAGGGGAAAATCAAGCATTTCAACATGGGGCCATAGTCTAAAGGCAGCAGGCGGGCAACCAGGCTCCTCCAATGCACAGTGGCGAGATTGGTCTCGTCACACCACCCCTTCCAGATCTCTCAAGGTATGGATTGAGAACATGGAGGACAATATTTCTAGTAGAGTCAGAAGGGAAAAACCTTAAAGATTTCACAATGGCTGCAGAATGTTTCTCAGAAGCCTCATTGGACATTACTAGGATGATTGCCAGAAGCAAGGCCTTTTCAGTGGCATCAAGAAGGGATCTGTGGTTTCATGCCTGGGGAGTAGATTATGCTTCAAAATCTTCATTGTGTTCACTTCCCTTTCAAGGAGAATTACTCTTCGGTAAGATGAGAATTTTCATTACATTTCGTCTGAGAATTTTTCATCACTTAGAGAACATCCTGATTATAGCAGCCTCCTTCGACAGATCTGTGATACACACAGATAGGGCCCTGCAGTGTCTGAGAAGCCACGGATGGATGGTAAAATTAGAGAAGAGTTCTCTGGAACCATCTAACCAGATTATTTATCTTGGGGCAGAGATAGACACTACAGAGGTCTCAGTAGAAAATCCTGCAGGCAGAAGTTCTTGGATTCTGGAGAAAGTTCAGATGATTCTGAAGAAGAATTCAACATCCGCAAGAGACTATGTGAGTCTCCTAGGGTCTCTCACTTCCACCATGTCAGAATTACA